TTAAAGTCTACATTGTCTTGTTTAGTCATCCAAGGAATTAAAACTGACAAGTTTTCATTTTCATGATAAACTTCATATATTTAACAACATTTAATAAGCTTAGGCCTCAGCCTTTAATCCTTCCTCCTCAGAAATTTGATCAGTTTTATGTGAGGAAAAGGAGTTTAGAAGGACAGAGGCTGCTTCTAGCCATAGAGTCTACCATGAAATGCTTAAACAATTGAGAGTTTCTGTTTCCTTAGCTGATTTTCTTCATAAAGCAGACTCACAAAACATTACCCTTAAGCTAACCATTTGTTAAAATATGCTGGGAAATCTGCCCAGCTATTTGTACCCTAAGCCATGGGCAGGCCCCAAGGCAAAGAGCACGCGAGCCTGCAGGGTGTCGGCAAGTAGGCGGGCAGAAAGCCAAGCAGCCTCATGTCCCAGAACATTCTCTCCTTCCGAAAAGACAAAGCGGTGCTGCCAAGGCTCGCACCCCTCCTTACCAGAAAAGGTCTAATCGTCTGTTTAAAATTTATATATGACTCTTCTCTCCCACTTTCAACTTATGGTCAGAACTGTTCATGGTTGTATCCTTCCCCAATCTCAAAACTTAAAACCAATCTAACAAATAAGTTCCTAACACAGAGTCCTCTTAATATCGGGGGGTTGGTTCTAGGAACATCCTCCCCGCCCACAAATACCAAAATCCACGGATGCTCATGTCCCTCATATAAAATAGGGGGGTGTCTGCATATACCTACATACATCCTCCCTTATACTGTATATTAAATCAATTCTAGATTACTAATAATATTTAATACTTTGTAAATGCTATGCAAATAGTTGTTATATTTTACTGTTTAGGGAGTGGGAGGAAATAAAAGTCTGCACATGTTCAGTACGGACACAACCATCACAGGCCTAACTACATAATACACATCAACACGTAACTGCCCGCCCCCTCGCCAAATATTTTCTCTGCATTGGTTGAATCCACAGATGCAGAACCCACAAGATACAGAACCAGCTGTACCTCCACACTAAGGATAAAAATTCCAATACATTTTCATACTTAAAATAGTACAGAGGTTATTCAACATTTATTAATGTTGTACAAGTTCCCAAAAAACTCTATAGGAGCTAAAATGCGAGAACACAGGCATGCCTCGCTTAATTGCGCTTTGCTTTACTGCACTTTGTAGATGATTGCGTTCTTTACAAATTAAGGTAAGACCACCCACCAGCAAAAAGATTATAACTCGCTTAACGCTCAGGTGATGGTTAGGATTTATTTTTTAGCAACAAAATATTTTAAATTATCATGTGTACAATTTTTTTAGACATAATGCTATTGTATACTTACTAGACTGCAGTACAAACATGACTTTTATATGCACTGGGACACCAGAAAGTTCGTATGACTGACTCTATTGCGATATTGCAGTGGTCTTGAACTGAACCTGGAAGATCTCCGAGGTATGCCTCTACTTTATTGTAAAGCTCATCACTTTAAGTTTACATCAGCTGATACAAAGAAATCATGAGAAAAACACACCAATCCAAAATCATATTGCTATGTATGGTCTGAATACCTGTGTCCCAACCACCCTGAATTCACGCTGAAATCCTCACTCCAAAAAAAAACGATGGTATTAGGAGGTGGGGCTTTGGGGAGGGGCTTTGGTTACGAGGGTGGAGCCCTTATGAATGGGAGTAAGGTTCTTAGAAAAGAAACCCCACTGACCCTGCTTGCCCTTCCACTAGGTGAGGACACAGCCAGAGGGCAGAGGCTATGAACCCAGAGGGCCCTCACTAGAAATGACCACACTGGCACCTTGATCTTGGACTTCCCAAGCCCCAGAACTGTGAGAAATAAATTTCTGTTGTTTATAAGCCACTCAGTCTGAGGTATTTTGTAATAGCAACCCAAACGGACTAGGACACATAGTTTCTCATCCTAATAATTTTCCACTATATAAGGTATCATCCTGAAATTCAGACTCCCAATCATCAGGTACAACCCTAATTCCCTTTTTATTATAATAAAGAATGACCAGAAATGTTAACACCAAAAAAACAGCAGGGAATTTTATTTCTGTTAAAGAATGGAACTCACACACATTTTAAGTTGACAACTACTTCTTAGAGCCTTTTTTAAATGATTCCTCACATTGGTCCAGCCCTTATTCTTATTGTACTTAGACACTGATGAATGCAGCACAACGAACAGTGGTTGTAAGACCTTCTTAGCTGAAGGCATGAATGTAGCTGTCGGCCAGCATTCGCACTAATGCCCGACCGGAGGTCATGCAGCGGTAAGTAGGTTTTAGCCTCCTGTGAACTCTCTCAATAACAGGTGCTACAGAAAGTGGTTCAGGGCCCAGCCTTTGGAGTCAGATGGTCCTGAATTCAAGTCTTTGTTTTGTCCCATGTTTTAGCTGAGTGTCCTTGATTCAGATTCCTCAACTATAAAAAGATATTCAGATTGCCTGGAGAGTACAGGTGCTTGTGTTATGATGGTTTCATAGCGTCTGAAGACATGAAGACTTGTGCAGGTAAGCAAAGAATATACAACTTTCCATTTTGTCTGGTATTCACAAGCACTAGTCTGTTTCCTTTCCCCCAGAGATCACTGTCTTTGGTGACCTATACTGTCCTTTTCTTAGTTGTTTCAGGCAGGAAGGTAAATGCGTTCCCTATAACTCCACCTTGACTAGAAACGAGAGTTTGAGTTCTGTTCTTAATGAAAAAGTTGATTAGTAGTTTAAGTGTCTGTCTTTCATTACTGATTAATTTTGGGAAATAAGATTCTGGTACCAATTCCAATTCTGATCACCAACTGGATGTGTCCAGTTAACTTTCTCCTATAATTCAACTCAATTCCAACACTATATACCTAGAGAGTGTAACGCAGGAATAGCCAGCTGGAAGTGACGCAAGCAATGGGGAAGGGGCACAGAGCTTCCACAGCGTCTCAGGGCTTGTCACTCTCCCAGAATCTCCACACTAGTCTGTTTCCTTTCCCCCAGAGATCACTGTCTTTGGTGACCTATACTGTCCTTTTCTTAGTTGTTTCAGGCAGGAAGGTAAATGCGTTCCCTATAACTCCACCTTGACTAGAAGCGAGAGTTTATGAGTTCTTGTTCTTAATGAAAAAGTTGATTAGTAGTTTAAGTGTCTGTCTTTCATTACTGATTAATTTTGGGAAATAAGATTCTGGTACCAATTCCAATTCTGATCACCAACTGGATGTGTCCAGTTAACTTTCTCCTATAATTCAACTCAATTCCGACACTATTACCAAAAGAGAGTAACGCAGGAATAGCCAGATGGAAGTGACGCAAGCAATGGGGAAGGGGCACAGAGCTTCCACAGCGTCTCAGGGCTTGTCACTCTCCCAGAATCTCCACGTGTGCACCAACCGAGAAACTCCAGTACAGAAGCAATCATAAAGGGGCTATTTAAAAGCAAGGGCAGAACAATGAAATAAATGGCCCTAAGTTTTCAAATAAGTAATTTGTTTGCTAGTTTATCTGCATGAATCTGCTCATGAAATCCAAAAACAGGACTTCCACCAACAGCAGTCAGGGCTGACTCTTGTTTGGGAGCAGGCAATCGGGCCTTGGAAACACTTGTCCCCTTTGAGCAAATACGTCTACATAATGAGACCGTTAGAGGTACTGTTTATTATGTTATTTTAGCAGATGGTATAAAATAGAAAATGAAATTTCCTGCCCTCCTGCATTAATATATAAAAACGATACTTCTTGAACTAAAACCTGGACCTACTTACTTGCAGATGTTCCCAGATCATTCCCTCTCCTTCTCGAGATATTCAACTCTTTGTTTCCAGGGCAATACCACTACTCTCTCTACATGGCTGGCTTCTCACCTCAGATCCTTGGATAACTATCTCCTACAAGAGAGACTGCCCCTGATCTATCCTAGCTAACGCTGAGATCCACCTCTCCACAACTTCATCCTGTATCTCAGCATCCTGCTTGTCTCTCATAGCACTTGGCATAATTTGCATTTTTTTTCTTTCTCTCCCTTCCAAATCAGACTAAGTGCCAAAAGTGCAGGGACTGAGCCTGTGGCGTGTTGTAGGACATCCCAGCAGCTGGAACAGTGACTGGCACCACAGTAAACATTCATTGCACACTGGCTGAATAAATGCTAGTGTCAAAGGGCCAAAAACCTGCCACTGTTCAGCATCAGTCTGGAAAGAGCAACAGGCCTTGAAAGCATGTGACTTTACTGTGGCGTAGCTTTTCTGAATCTTACCAAATGGATCATAATGCAGTAGAGTCAGTTTCTCCCGCAGGCGGCTTCTCTTAGTGTTGAAGGAGAAACCTGTCCCAGCTTGGCTTACCATTCTCACCAGAATGTTCCTGAAATTTAAAAGTAAGCTGTTAGAAGCTGAAGACATAGATTAAAATCAGTCACAAGGAGACGGCACATTTTGAGAACCCTATACAGTAGTGTTAGTTGTGGCACAACCCTTGGCCCTCAGAAGGTTCAGTTCTTAGACAGGCTAAGTGTTCTATAAGTCACAACTTCAGTGGTTTTGATTCCCAAAGTTTGTTTTATTACAGAATGCCTTGGTAATGACCTAACCAAAGCAATAAGAACAAATCAAACCACATTGCAGGAATACTCTCAGACATGGCACCTCTAAGAAAGAGCAGAGGTCAGGAGGGGGAAAAAATACACATGTACTGGTAACTGTAGGTGGCCGGTCTGGAAATCATAAAGACAGCTGTTTCAGAAGACCCCTATCTACCAGGGATGAGCAATAACAGTAAAATCAGGAAGAGACACAATTAAGGGATTAGAACTTTTCTATTCCTAACATCTAACACCTTTCCCCTCTTCATATATTTCATTTAAGTTATAGTCCTCCAAAGCATAAAGTTCATGTTTTGCCTCACTGGACCTTTTAACACATTGTACTGTTACTTTTTCCTATGTCTTGTCTCCCTACATAAAGCAGTTAAAGCTCAAAAAGATTTAACAAAAAGCTACTAAGTACTTACTCTGTGGAAAGCACTATGGGAAATGCAAAACTCTATTAAGGCTGCATCAGCACCCTCGAGAAACTAACAGTATAGTATGCAAGGTGAGTGTGTACAGAAGGTCTATAAGGCAACACATATAGGACAAATGTCACAAGAAGGATACAAAGAACATGAAAGGCAGGGAGTACCTTTAAAGAAACTGAAAGCATGAGAGATTCCTACAGCCCCTGGAGGTGGGAAATTCTCACATAAATAACTGGGTTGTGGGAAAGCTACATGAATCAATAAAAGATACTGGAGTGGAAGGGACACCAATATACATGTTTAACTTTAACCCAAAAAAAAGAACAAAAACCTAGTCTTGAGGATTTGTGACATGTCTTGGGTTGTAAGCAAAGGCTGCATTAGAATTTTCGTACGGAAGGTCTATAAGGCAACACATATAGGACAAATGTCACAAGCAGGATACAAAGAACAGGAGAGGCAGGGAGTACCTCTAAAGAAACTGAAAGCATGAGATTCCTACAGAACCTGGAGGTGGGAAATTCTCACATAAATAACTGGATTGTGGGAAAGCTACATGAATCAATAAAAGATACTGGAGTGGAAGGGACACCAATATACATGTTTAACTTTAACCCAAAAAAAATAACAAAAACCTAGTCTTGAGGATTTGTGACATGTCTTGGGTTGTAAGCAAAGGCTGCGTTAGAATTTTCCTATTTTTAACACACAACAAATCTTCCGTTACTATCTATAAAATTTATTTTTTAAGATAACAGTTTGGTATTTATAGTCTCTCTGGTACATTATGAATTCTTTAATCTTTGCTATTTTTGAAATGCTTCTACCATGAATGCAAAGGATTATAAAACTCATTAAAATAGGCTTTAGAGTTTAATCAAATCAGACTGTTCTACTAGACTCCTGTAGTGGGCTCCAGACAGCCACCAGTCCTCAATTTGAGGAAACAAAAATACAATGGTCGTCCAAACAGAGCTGGCCACTCTGATGGCATCTTAGGAACAAGACAGCAAGAGCTCTTCTAAGTAAATTATTTGAATGCTCACTTAAGTAGGTCAATTGGGCAAAAGGAAAAATATTTTTTTGAAAAACTTCAGAGGGCCAAAATAATTCACCATGTAAGTCAGTGGTTCTCAACCTTCCTAATGCCGCGACCCTTTAATACAGTTCCTCATGTTGTGGTGACCCCCAATTTCATTGTTACAAATGGAACATAATTAAAGCATAGTGATGAATCACAAAAACAATATGTAATTATATGTGTTTTCCGATGGTCTTAGGCGACTCCTGTGAAAGGGTCGTTCGACCCCCAAAGGGGTCGAGACTCACAGGTTGAGGACCGCTGATGTAAGTAGTCCTCAAACCAACTTTTAGAAAATGGAGGCCAAATGCTGTTTAACATAAGGATGTATTGGCAGCAGCTGGACTAAGGAATATAACATGAACAAGTTAAAAAAAAAAACTTTTACTTACTTTGATTTGCTCTTGGCAACTTTTTGTAGCAGGGACAGGTTGAAAGAGAAAAGAAAAATATCCATTTATTATCTTTCTTATGCAGAGTTCATATAACCATCATTAATAATCAAAAATATTTAGGTCACGAAGAACGCCAGGGGCTGTCACTCAGGTAACTACTCCCAGCTACGCGGGGTCTGGTTAGGATTTTCTAACAGAAGATAAAGATCCAGACCCACACGGTTCTGGATGTAATGCTCTGCACACACTCAGGTGGACCGCCTTTCAAACCTTTCTAGAGTGACAACTGCTCCCTTTATCCCCTTTCTAAGGGCAAACATTTGCACTGGAACAGAGTCTTGTCTGACAAGTTAAGCAGGTGGCGGAGGGGACAACCTAGCTGGGCCGTCAGCCTGGTGCGGGGAAGAGCACTGTCTTGGGAGTCAGCCCCGCTGCACGACCTGCGCAACGCACTGCCCCTCTCGGACGCCGTGTCCTTCTCTTTAGGGTTCGGAACAAATGGACTGGACGTTCTGAGGTTTTCCCAGTCCGAACAACCAGTGGTTCTGCTGACACACCCCTACCGAGGGCGGGAAAGGTCCAGCGAACCATAGCCAGACCCCGAGGTGCCCCGCAGCCGCCGAGGCCCACTCGCCCGCAAGGACGCGCGCGGGGCATGCCGGGA